AGTGATCGACTAACATTTGTGGGTGGGAGCTGACAAAGCTGGACTGAGTTTAAAATCCCTTGAGCGTGATTCTGCCTGGGGTAGCGGTTGGTGTGCGGAAAGCCAGGGTGTGCTCACAGTGGGGAGCGTCTGTTGTGGTTGTGGAGTGTAGGGCAGGTCGAAGAAGCAAAGGGAAACACTTAAGACCACAGTCCATTGAACAGTGACTCCCGGACCCTCGTGAGGCCAGAGTGCAGGCTGATGCCAGGCTGGATGCCCAGAGTGGAGCGCCCCTGGTGGGAAGGAGAGCATCAGCCAGATCCTCAGCTTGCTGGGAGCCCCACCTACAGTTCAGACTGTTTTCTTTCTTAGAATATCTTGGCAAGGCCGTCTAGAAAGTTGCCATTAGCACTACAGACTAATGTACACTGTGCCCATTCCTCTCAGAGGCCAGCGGTCCACTTGACTGTGAGTCTCCCCTGGACCGTTGCCTCAGTCTCCTGCCTGGCTGTCTCTCTGCACTTTTGCAGTCCCAGAGTGTGCTCTCTACCACACTAGGGTGATCCTTTAAAAAGATGGCCATGTTTCCTGTGTCCTGGCCCACTCATGGCTCATTTGCATTTGGATGGAAGGCTAAACCTTTATATTTGCTTCCTGGACGCCAGGTCCCCCAGCCTCAGTCGGTGCCTCCTCCTCCTGCTCATTCCCAGCCCGCTGGCCTTGCTCTGTCTCATACCTGTCAAGCTCTTCTGTTGCCAAGGCCACTCACCTGCTGTTAGGCTTTGCCACACTTTGGCCCTGCCTTGCCTGGCCACTTTCCCAAGCCCTCAGACCTCAGATGAGGACATTCCCTCCTTCACCAAGAGCTTCCGGGCCGGGCCACCTGACAGTGAACGCCTCCTCTCTGTGTCTTCAAGTTCTACAACAGTTGTCCTGTTTGTACGTTTCCAAAGCAGGGGTGGCTGTTGTAAAATATGACAGAGACGTACGTCACAGTGTGTCAGATTGTTACAAAGATTTCAGCATTTTCAGTTTCAGCCCTTGTCTTATATTGGGCCTGCTAGTGGAGGAACTAGCCCTGGTCTGTGGCTGCGCCTTGAGCAGCAGCCGCCCTGGTCTGTGGCTGGGCCTTGAGCAGCCGCCCTGGTCTGTGGCTGGGCCTTGAGCAGCTGCCCTGGTCTGTGGCTGGGCCTTGAGCAGCAGCCCTGGTCTGTGGCTGGGCCTTGAGCAGCCGCCCTGGTCTGTGGCTGGGCCTTGAGCATCAGCCCTGGTCTGTGGCTGGGCCTTGAGCAGCC